AATCCATGAGTGAAGACAATTATAAAGAAATACAAGAGTAGCCGTAATATGATAACTGCAAGGATAATGGAACTTGAATCAACTGAATGTGTTTAGTCCTCTGTGCATTTGCAATATGCACATATCACTTGCCATTGAAACGCTATATTTACAACAACATTTGTCATTGAACAGCTGCAGGAGAGCACTTAATGCTTTCACCCCATAGGAAACAAGAAGAAGCTATTAGAGTTGATTTCTTCTTCTATTTGTGGCTAGTTTCTATTAAATTTGAGAATGTGGAGCTTATACACTACTCATTGATTTTAACATATTTACATCAATGATGTTGATATCGATGTTAGTACCTCTTTTTTCGATAAACATAGCTGTACATTTCCCTCTTCAATTGCACTATATCTCAATTACAAAATTCATGTAATTTGTTTATCCACGTAAAAATACTGGGAAAAGAAGTGTGGCAGATGATTTAATCTACAGCTGCAGAACTTTTATGGTAGGTATATTTTCCGTTGTTTTAGAAAAAAAGGTACGTCTACTATTTCCTTTTTAGCCATTCATTATCCCCTTAAGAGCATCTTCAACAATGCTATCTAAAATAGTTACTCAAAATATATTTAAATATTGTATTATCTACTTTAGCTAACCACTTTTTCAAATTTATTCCAACAACGCTATCTATTTTAGCTAACCACTTCAATTAATTTTAACTAACTTTCAATAATAAGATTCAAAAAATAGTAATTCAAATTATATATTGTACAAATTTAATCAATTATAGGCTACAAAAGAGAAACCCATCTCCCAAAAATTACTACAACCAAATTAAATTCTCTCAAATTAAATCACAAAATGCGAAACAAAATCACCTTAAATTACACAAATAACCGAAGTCAAATTTTTGGGAGGAAGTTTACTGGATTTTTGGGGGGTTTGTTGAATTTTTTGGGGGAGTTGCTGATTTTTGAGGAGAGTTTATTAGATTTTTGGGGGGTTTTGTTAGATGTAGCTAGTTAGAAGTGGCTAGCTAGATGTAGCTAGTGAAAATGAGGTTATAGAAAATAGAGAGGGGAAATAGCTAGTTTGTTAGAGACATTTCAGAAAGAAGTTATCTAAAATAATTAAAAAGGGGATTTTAGCTAGCCTCTTGGAGTTGATCTAAGGTGTGGAAGCCCCCTACACCAAATCTGGTTGTCCCTCATCACTTTGGTAGCTCGAGTGGTTTTGAGCAACGTAATTAGGCCTGGGTATCCAAATCCACAAATTTTGAGACCTATCACCTATTTGCCAAGGATTATGATGGGTTGATTTGGGTATCTTTCCTCTTACTCTGGAGATCTTGAAACCCTGAGTCAAAATCTCTAGCAAATCTATTGTATGTTTTATGGATGCGTTGCAGTACGCCACAAGCACCTTAGGCCTTAAAAAGCTCTGCCATGGGATGAGACCATTAGACCAAAACTAAATGTCAATGTCTTTGTTCCCTTTTATAGGTTGCACTTAAAACTATTTTCAGAGTCACGTTTCATCATTTTGTACTGCAACATTGCTTGAGGTAGCTGGCCGAGCCATGTGAATGTGTAGAGGGTGTGGTTATCTTTCCCTTACATTCTTATGTGTTATTCTTGTCAAGCTCAACTTGGCCCTGTAAGTTTATTGAAGGGACTCTCCAATGCCATGTGTCATATTAATGTGATGACATATCTAATTCACCGACTTCTCTGTGATAGGATAGTCTGGCATTGCTATGTGTCAACGCATGACTTTTCCCACCTTTTGTGGTGCCCTTGATAACAGCCGGGTAATGGAGACACTCATCTCACCGCATGTCCATGTCATTAGGGGTATTGCTCGATTTTTGAATATCGAATTTCCTGCCCCGTAATTTCCTCTTCCCAAGTATCACCTTTTCTTTCAGTTCACTTGTTTATTCTTCTGTTGTCTCCCTCCTTTCTATAAAGCTTTGTGATCATTTTATTGATTCTTTCTATTCTCTCCCATTTGCTTTTTTTTCCCCTGCTTTCTCTTTTCTTCTTGTTTGGTGGCCAAAGTTCGTGCTTTGTGTGGGTTTACCATTCCATTAAAATGCCAATGGTATAGAGTGGCGGACCTCAGCAATTTTGAAGATTGTTTTCGGAAGCTTGTTCAAGAGTCAATGTGGATGTAGATCTTTTATCCCATGCTTTAGTCCTCAAGCATGTTCTTCCTCTTGACGATGTCAACTACGTGGCTCAGGAATCAATTGCTTGGCTTCGTGTATAGCAAGTGGCACTCTTTATTCCTTTAAAGATTTATAGTCTAGTTCTTCTCTTACCTTTGGTTGGGTGGGGTGGTTAAAATATGCTATCCCCTAACCTTAATTCCTGCTATTCTTAACTGATGAAATAATCCTTTTGGTGACTCAACCTTGTCAAAGGCTTCAGGTAAAGCACATCAACAGTAGCGCATTCTAGCAAGACACGACATGCATGTGTTGCAGGCTGCAGCATGGGAAGTTTACCCCCACAGTTGAGGATCTATCAGTTCTCGCAAGCTGCCTATGCTTGTGACAGATTGCTTGGCCCAGAGGAACTCTTTTAGAAAGAGAAGTTTACAGCAGAATACATAGATCACTGTTTCAAGATATCTGCCCAATCAACTACACAATTCAAAAAGTTTGTTTTGCAAAACAAATGCACCTATCCAACTTGGGTTAGATACTTTAGATGGACGTCATGATATTGTACAGGAAAGTAAAAAATTCTTTGAAGATGAAGAATTTGGTCGATTGTATATTACTTTGTGAATGTCTTTGTATATTCTTATCAGCCCTCCTGCTGTTGGGACTGGCCAGAGATTGTTCTCTTTGACCCTCAGGCATGCTTTAGGGATGGTCTTCCCAGAGGCCTCCTATTCTGGGGACCCCTTATGCTTAACTTGACGTGCTTCACTAGGTTATACACAGATCTCCATGGCCTGTATGGACATTTGAATTCTCGTCTTAGCCTCTTTTCTCCAAACATTTCCATATGAGCAGTTCAGCAAGTATGGTTTTATACCTAAGTAGTTACCTCTGAAGTGGCCCTGGTCCATGAATTTCTATCGAATCTGATTGGATTTACAAGTCAACGAGTAAGACGCTCACTGCCTTTTTGGTGATGCAAATATATGCCCTTGATTATTGATAATTAGATATTGGAGACACATGTTGGCTTTAAAGGGTGAGTCTTTGCAAAACAGTAAGGTTGTTTCATTATGGCCTAGGTGTCATGTAGTTGAGTCATGGAAATGGCCTCTCCGCTTAATGGCTTGGGCCATGTACATCTAATCCACTCGTCGTGGCAGTAGTCTTTTGCACTAGGACTAGGCTGCTCCTTTTTGTAGATGTGCATTTGCCTTGCAGAATATTCAAAGAGTAATGTTTTTACATCACAATTTTTTGTTCTAATTTGTGGTAATTTTTCTAATTTTAGCTGTCCACCTAATCTTTAAATGTGCTTGCTATATGGCTTAATTATTTTGATTTTTTGAGTGCAGGACATGCTTTGCAGTTTCTTCAGCATAGTTGGGTATGCATATTGGATTCAAGTGAAATCAGCTTCTTTGCCACTTCTTTGTTATGGACACTTAAGATTGCTAATGATCCCTTTGGTTATGCAGGGATCCATCAAAAGGTTTCTTTTGTTATGCTCAGGGCTACATCACACATTTCTTTTGTGTGGCTTCGTTTCTTTGGACTACTACAATTGCTTTTACCCTTCATCGCACTGTTGTTAGACACAAAACAGATGTTGAGGATTTGGAGCCCATGTTTCACTTGTATGTTTGGGGTATGCATTCGATTATTGTAAAGGATCTCTAATTTTTCTAAGACTGGTTTCGTATACTCTGCCTCTTGCATTATTGCACTTGTCATTTCTGAAGTGGCCCTTGCTTGCGATTTCAGGTTTTCATTTAATCTCTTTCCATTTTTCATATAGCATTGTCATGAAGCTTACTTTAGTGTTCAATTACCCTTACAGGTACTTCACTTGTTATGACTGTCATACGCTCTATTGGTAATGAACATGGGCATATTGTTCGTTTAGGTGCATGGTGTTTTGCCCAAGCAGGACGTAAAGGAACGGCAAGTATTGGGTAGTCTTGGCTATAGGAATTTTGGGTTTTGATTGTTTTTGTATAATTCCTAGCTATATTCTTACATATTAAGAAAATGCCTATGTGTTTAGGAATATATTTTTGTGAGGTGGGTTATGATCTTTAAGTTTAATTTATAATGTGATCGACCTCCTTTTGATTAAGCTGATCATAGTTTACTGTGTTTTTACAGGTGGTTCACTTTATAACGTTTTATGCACCACTGTGGGGGGCAATTATCTTTAACGGCGTCACTTACTTTCAAGTGATACGCATGCTAAACAATGCAACCCGTGTATGTGTCATTCCTCCTATACATCTCTTGATGTTTGTTGGAATAGTATGTTTCAGTTCTTTGCATTCCAAGAAAGATTAGGCCTGTTATACTAATGAAATCTTGGATGTTTCAGATGGCAGTAGGTATGTCAGACCGAGTATACCAACCAGATGCACGGCCAGACATGAAGGTCTGATGTTTCTGTTCTTTCTGTTTGTTTAAAAGCTATTATATCCACTGCTATTTGTCTCCACCCACAGTTTTGGACATTGCTCTCTGGAAGAAAATCAGCATAGCAGCCTGATTTGTAACTCATGACCTGATGTCTTGATCAAAATCTTGATTTCGTTTCATCTCTTGGATTTTTCTTCTGAACCAACTTTCTGAATTGATTACTCCGTTTCTCTAAGGACCCTCCTGAAAGAATATAATGCAGTCACTCAGGTTGCTGACTTGTTTTCCCTTCAGGTGGTTTCATTTTATTGGTCCTTGTGAAAAATGGCTTCATTTTATTGGTGTGCACTGTACTTAATATACCTGTAATGCAATTGATAAAATGCGAAGTAATGAAGTGTATACGTTAAACAGCACATTGAACTTGCCTATGTAATTCATGCTTTGGTTTGCAAAATTTCCTTTCTAAAATATCATGTGCTGGTTTTATGGTATAGATGGACTATCAAGGAGTGGGTGCCAGGGTTTCAATCTCATCATCTATCTCCAACAATCACACCACTTTCAAAAAAATTGAAATTCCACAAAATTATGTTCCAAGTAATTTTTTTTTTCTGCACCAATTATTAGTGGTATTACTCCTTCAGAACTGACTAAAAATAAAAGTCTGTCAAGTTATGTGTCAGGAAAAAACTCTAGTCACTTAGTCTGTCAAGGAAATGGGATTCCATAAGCTTCTGATGTGCAAAATTATGAATTTTCTTTTCATTTCAAAATCCAAAAAATTCACTGACATTCCCCCCCCCCGGGGCCCGCCTGCCCGCGTGGGGTGGAGAAAAAAATTCTGTTGCAATTGCATGTTTCATTTGAATAAAAGGCAAGTCTGTTTTGTCATCTCAATTGTGGAATTTTTAGCTTGGTGTTAAGTGAGAAGAAGCCCATTAGCTTTGCCTATAGGATTTTTTTAATTGTGGTTATTCCTTTTACAGGCTGTGAACCGGTGGGGTTACTATCCACTCATCCTCATAGGGGCTTGGACTTTTGGCACGATCAACCGCATCCATGATTTCATTGTACCAGGCCATAAAATATTTTGGCTTTCCATTCTTGATGTTGGGATGGCTGCACTAATGGTAACAACTGCAGCCACAGACAAACACTCTATACATATGGTTTTTTTTTTTCGGTGAATGCTTGCTCCACCATTGGCAACTTAGTTCTCCATGTTCAGATCATGCCTTTGTGCATATTGCGTGCACATATAAGCAAAGATCAAAATTTCGTTCAGTGTATTGTTCTGGTCAGTTTAGAAACGCAAATGGGAATGTTTTGGAAACATTTTGGAAAAGGGATGGAAACCAAGAAAAAGTTTGGAAATTTATTTCGAGTTTGTTGACCAAAACATACCGACACATTTAATCACTATTCGTTTCGGGTTCCATGGAAACATAAATGTTTTGGACGTTGTGAAATGAAATTTAGTTCCTTGCGTATAAGTAGGCAGTGCTTCAGTTTCAGTATTCATTGAGTTATTTGGAAGATTGCTCTTTATTTTTTTGTCAAGTTGTGTGTCTAGAAAGTAGCTGGTTTGCAGTTCTGAGAAGATGGTCTTTGGCAAACTGATGGCTAATTGATGATTAGTTATGAGCTTATGATCGAATACAAAATGGTTGTTTATTTTGAAGTAGGGCAAAACACAGTAATGGCTCTCAGAATGTGTGCTTGGTCTCACTTTGGTCCACATTCTTTGAATTATGCAACTTTAATTCCTAAATTTTTCAATTTGATTCTCAATGATCCAATCGAAAGTGGTGATTTAAAATCGCTAACAAAAGTGGTCATGTGTGTATCAGGTGGTTGGACATGTGGCCACTTTCGTTAACGATCTTAAACAAGTGTTTTGGATCGGACCATGTAGAGTCAAATTGGAATTTTAGGACTAGAGTAATGAAATAAAAAAAGGAGCAAAGTGAGACAGATTACATAACTTAGGGACCACTACATTATTTTAACCTTTGAAGTAGAACAATTGTCCGCACAACTCCATGCAGACAGACTTAGTGAGAAAGTGTATCATTGATTGAACCTAATTGGCTTGTTCACCCTCTAAACATAACCTGGTTTGTGGAGAGATATACATATTTTTTGCACATATTGCGTACCAAGAAAGCATCTGGCATACAGTTTGGAAAAGAAGCATCTTTGACAAAATGATGGATGATCAGATCTAAGCGTATGATCAACACAACTGTGATGGGACCTACAGATGTTCAAGATGTACAGAAATCTAACGATGGAAATTCATGTCATGTGAAGAGAAAGCGTGCCATCATTGATCGAATAGATTGGCGTGTTCACCTTCTAAACATAACCTGATATTTCTTTATATGCATGTGCATGCGTGTGTGGGGAATATGCTTATATTTTAAACTAGCTTGATTGTTGTTCTAATCTTGATTTAGGGCCTGTTCAACTCAATAGCATATGGCCTTAACTCCTCGGTGCGGCGGGCAATTTTTGAAAGATTAGATCTGTAAGTCATGGATGCTGAATCTTTATTAGATATGAAGAACTTCTAAATTGTCTACTGGCATGTCTTTAAATTCTTTCTTATGAATATTGTCTAGACAATTTATTCGAACATGATTAAAAAAAAAACATCAACGCATGTACTACTCAAACCATCCCCTTCTTGAATTTGATAGGTTTTGGATATAGTCTCTTGATGCTACTGTTAAGTTCCCGTGGGTAGGTTGAAAGCAACAGCTTGTCACAGACATTGGTGCTCTCTTATGCCTCATCTCATCAATTGCTGCTATGTTTACTGTCTTTTGGGCTTCCAAACATGTGCCTCTATTTTCTCCTGTGCCGTGGCTGATTTTTGACAGCTTTATATGTCCACTAAACTCTTTGAAATGGGTTTGATAATGGTTCTACTACTGAAGTAAATATGACTGTTAACGTCCAAGTGAACTTTTGTCTGGCATGTTTGCTTTTCTGGTTTGAATATGTGGGTAGAACGCTAAATTTCCATAGAGATTTTGTGGCCTGTCTTTTGTCACCCAGTGTTCCATACATTCTTTAATAGCAATTCTTCTAATTTAACTTTGGTTCATTATTATCACTGTTTAATGTTTTTCATCTGCCTTCTTATGACCAAAAGTGATTACATCTTGCCTATTGGTTATTTTTTCCATTTTTTATTTGTGACCATTTTATTTCACAATAAATCTATTTTGAAATTGATGGTTGGAGATGCACGTTTCCAGGTTACCAGAAAGATTTCAACGATTCTTGCCAAAGAATTTTAAGTCCAGGGGGCAACATCAAGCGAGTGAACTAGTCTCATTGAAAATTGAGGACCAGCAGTAGCAGTTAGGAGTTTGGACGCTGTCTGTATGCTTCCACCTGGGAGAGGTGTAGTGTCTAGACTGCTGCAAATTTCATTGTTCGTTTATCATTTGAGAAAGATTGAAACCAGAACTCAAGGAGGAACACAGCTCCCAACTGATTTGGTTCATTACCACTCGTCAGACAAAGCCCACAGAACTCGTCATTCCATCTGCCTGTTTGGTCTTCTCTCTGTTGTAAAGTACCACTGACCTCATGCTCTTGAACCTCATTTGGAAAGGTTGATATCAGTATCTCACTTGACGTGCTATTACAGATAGAATATCTAACAGTGAGTTAGATTACTCTCACATAGAATGCAAATTATGATCAAGATGATATAATGATCTCTGTTTTTTTTTTTGGAAGAAGATGAATATCTACATTACCATTCATGTCTGGAGTTGGTTGAGAAATCTTCTATTTTCCTACTGTCATGTGCATTATTTTATTTTCTGTATTTCCCAATTAACTTTACAGTGTGATTCCTGATCATGTGTAATGCTGTTGTATAAAACATGCTTTCAATTATTTATTTATTTTTTGGTTTATTCTCGACTCCCTCTGACTGGTTTCTTCTGATTTGTGGAACCTTATCACGGCTAAGTTATGTTGATTTTCACTTCAATGCATGTTCAATTTCAAAATTGGAGTTAGGGATATTATATTACTTTGTTTAGTAGCATATGATGCAAGTCCAATTGACACTTGTTACTTGTTTCAGACTAAATGACTTGAAAGAAGATGAATGACAGTACGAGTAGGATAAGAAAATGCCTTCTTCTTTGTTCCCCCTGCCAGTCCCAGTCCCAGTCCCGGGGAGACAGGGATGTGGTTTGTTTAAGTGATTGACATCGAATTAGTTCACTCCCTACCTCCCTATTTATGTCCCCCTCCTCCTCCCTCTTCTCATTTCAGCTTCAGCTGATGCCTTGTTCTAATGCTTCTTCATGGTTATCAGCCCGATATAGAGGGATATTAGTGTCGAATTCAGGTTAAACCCAAAAATTCATGACCTCAAGTTTGGACTGTCCAGTCTATCAGAGTTTTTATCGAGCGGATCTCCAACCAAGCATCTCTCACGTGAAGGCTTGGCTAACAAAACTGGAATCAAAATGGATAAAATGAAAAATGATCTTGATGCTCAAAATGGTATATGAATTGAAAGTTGTTTCTTACATGTACAAACAAACAAGACATCCCCAATTGGGAATTTTTCCACTCAAGGCTTCCCGGCCTTTTCTGGTATATGCTGTGTGCTGTTTATGCTTCCTTTCCTGGTCACTTCCCCAAGAACTGATTTACTCATGGGCAGATCTTGTCTTTGTTCTTTTTGACTTCCAAAACGTCACCCATTGTTCGCTTGCTCAGATTTTCAGTCCTTGACTTGTAACCAACCATTTTGCAGACAATAAGCCCACGAAAAGAAAATAAAAATAAAAACAAAAATAGAAATAGATATAGATTCAAATCACACAATTTTGTTCAGCAGAGAGAACTATACACATAAAGAAATCCAGATAGAAATGAAACTTCATCTGGAGAAAAACCATTAACAAGCACAACAAAGTAGTAATCAATCTCTATTACAGACAGATTTGTAGAAGATGATCGACCAGGTTTAAGCACAAGCGCAAGGATTGTCAACGACGACCAGATCTTGGTCATCGCTGCTCCTGAACAACAAATACCCGACGGCGAGCCCGGCGACGACAGCTATGAAGACTCCGGCGTTAAATGACATGATCGAAAGCATCAAGAGGTACCCGATCGCCGAGTTGATCCCAAATAATACGGCGCCGGCAAATTTGGACCATCCGGCGACGGCGACGAGCTTAGGGTAGAGGAGAGGGGTGTCGATCGTCGCAGCTTGTGGGGTTGTGGAGAGGTTCTTGGCGTTGAGAGAGGAGAGAAGCCTGAGACGGAGTCGGCGATCTTCCATGTACTGGTAGAAGACGGAGCAGAGGATGCAGGCGAAGAGAGAGAGGGAATAACTGAGCCATGAATCAGTCGTCCATGAATCGAACAGAATGGTTACCTTTCGGCCCCAATAGAAGGTCATGTGCATCATCTTCGCTTCTCTGTGTTGAGAGAGAGAGAGAGAGAGAGAGAGGAGAGAAGATGTTTAATGGCTGGTGGCTGTGCCTCTGGTCAAGAGAGAGAGAGAGAGACTGTTTTTAGTTTGGGATTCTTTTGGTTGGCGTAGAAGGTGAGGTAAGGTAGGCTTGGGTGTTGTCGTGTGTAGTACTTGTACGCCGAACCGAACGCCTCGTACGTTTTAACGTCCGCATACGAGTTTTTAAGTACTTCACAAGGAAACCTTTTAGGAAAATGCTACAGATTTTAAAAATAGACTTAAAAAATTAAATTTAATAATTATAATCATTAAATAATTAATGAGGCTTAATAAATACCGAGACCCAAAGTGATATTAATAATTTTAATTATTCAGTTTATTTTTTAAATGTATGTAGTATTACTTAATTTTTTTAAATTTATTTTTTAAATCTTTGTAACATTGCTCAACTTTTTATTACGCCCCTACCATTTTACTTCAGCAAACCTACAGTATAAAAAAAATGTAATCATCCCCAAATATTCAACTTTGAAACTATTTTTAGTTTAATCTATGCTATTAATAAAAATATTTTAATATAAAAAAATTTTAATTCTCTATTTTATTCTTATAAAGAATTATAAATGTCATTCTATCTTTATATAATTAAATATTTAAATTATTATCATATTTTAATATGTTTAAATTTCTAAATTATCCTCTGATCTAATTATCTATTCTCTATATCCATCATTATAATCAACAGTATATTTTATTCCAATTGACCTAACTAATTCTTAATTATAGTAAAGTTTCAATATGATTAGGATATGGATAATTATTTTTATTTTAATCAACGAATTATAAATAGAGTCTTAATCAAATTAATTTCAAAAAATTTAATTTTTTAAACATCACTAAAAAAAATCACTCTCAATCTTAAAATATTAAATATAAAACTTTAATTATTATTATTTTTTTATCATTTTATAATTATAATTAGACCAATAAATCGTTATGACAGATGATCTTCATAATTCTATAATGCAATTTAAGTGATAAAAAAAATTATCCACGTGTAATACACGCACTACATTGCATGTTTAAAAACTTGGTGTCGGACTCGGGCTAGTCAAAATGAGGCTTTATCAGGCTAGTAAATGTATTTAATTAGTCTTTTCTGTCATCATCCTGTTTCATCATATCTTAACCATCATATTTCTTAAAAACTATTCATTAATGAATTAAAATAATATTTGTTAGCTTTTAAAAAATAAAAAAAAATTCAAATTTGAAATAGAAAAGATTGTGAAAGTAATTATAAAAGATGGAGGGAATAGTAAAATAAGTCAAATGAAATAATTTAATTTGAAGAGTTAATTAAATATTTCAAAAATCTAAAAATTATTTGAGCATGGAATGCTTTTCATATATAGTTAAGCATAGGATTATACTATTTTCTCAATACAAAGAATTGAAATCTAAAAACTGTATATTATTTTAATTTGCCCTTTACCGTATAACCCCACCCCCGCTATCGTCACTACTACCGCAACAAATTTACAAATATCGTTATACCACACATGTCACAGTTGTTGCCACCATTTATCCCCCCCTTTCCCATCACATTACCACCAACACCATAACTATCATCATCAAACTGCCAGCATACCTACATTATCATCACCTCATCAACAAACTCTATGACAACCATCGCTCAGAGTTATAAATGAATGATTGATTCCCAAATTTAGGATATAAAAAAAATATATATTTTGAAGGCTTTAGTTTACAATGCCTTCAATGGATAAAACTTCATCCTTGTTGATTACAAATGATAATAATTATTAATTTTCTTTTTGGTAAAAAAATTATAATTATTCTATTTTTATTGTTTTTGTTGCCGTGTATATCAAATTTTAATCATTTATGTTTAATGATATTGTAAGTATCAAATTTGATTTTAGTCAATATGAATGTATAAACCCACCAGAGTTGGTGGTCTAATGGTAAGGTATACCCGTTTCTGGTCGTTCCCTAACTTCCACGATGTTAGCAAGTAGGGATCGATCCACGGGGTTCCCATGCCTTACTCATTAGTGCTTTGGTGGTAGTGTGTTGATGGGTTATTCTAAAGGGGTCTGTAGCTATAATTAACCAAACATTCCACGTCAGGAGAGACCCTCATGGTCATGCCCAGGGGGATCACTATCTGCTGGTTGCCTCCCTCCACCATTTTACTGACCAAAAAAAAAATATGAATGTATAAACTTCTCTAAGACAAAAAAAAATAAAAAATTAAAGTTTGTTAATGTGCCCACCGTAAAATAATTATTTGACTCGAACCTTGCCATCACCCCTCTACCACGAGCACTACCCTCCACCATCCAATTACCACCATCACTATCCCCTCCCTGTCATTTCCACCACAATCACCATCATTACGACAACTACCACGACACCCCACAATCACTGTAACCTCCATCATCCTACTGCAACCAACATCACCACCTCTATCTACATTGCCACAACAATCACCATTATTACCACTCTACCACCGGCATAGTAATGGCGACGATAATGGATGGGTGATGGCAATGGGGGCTGGGGGTGTGATGTAACCATGGTGGCTTGGTGGTCATTGGGGGTAGTGTACTTGGTATCCATGCGTAAGTATTTTGCATTGAATAGAACAAAAAGTTAAAATGTCTTAATATATTGTCGATAAATTCAATAATTATAAACTTAAGTTTTTAGGCAGGTATGAGTTTCGGATATATATATTAGGTCATAGATCACGAGACGCAAGACCTCTTAGCAAAGTGGTAGTACGATGACTCATAAAGAATGATAAAATTTTAGTTCTTAGATGAGTGGACTCTGGTAAATAGTGATTGGACGTGGTGATTCTATATACTGGTGGATCAAACTCAAGGAAGAGTTGAGCATAATGTAGTTTACACATTAAGGGGAGATTGTTAGGTATTACATGTGTGAGACTCCTACATTGGATAGAAAAAGAAGTTAAAGGATCCTAAAGGTTCTCTACTTATAAACTTAAGGTTTTAGGTAAGAATGTGTTCTACACATATTTTGGGCCTTCGATCATTGAAGTTCCCAGTTCTCCTAACATGGTGGGGGCAATGGTGACAAAAATGAGATGACAATTGGGGGATGTTGGGCAAGAGAATGGCAATAGTGTGTCAGTAGGGGGGAGTGGGACAGTGGTGGTGCGGTATGGGTTGGTGATGTTGGGGATGATAGAGGGACAGTGATGGTGGTGGTTGTAATGGGGTGATGGTGGCAACAATGGTTGTGTGGTGGTTGCTTTTTTTTTGAATTAATAACTTATTTCTCTATGGTGGCGGTGGCAGTGACAATGATGGTGAGGCGATAATGATGAGTTGGCGGTGGAAAGTTAGGATATAAGATGAGTTGAGATCAAAATATTTTGTGAACAAATTAAAATAAAATGAGAAACTTAAAAAACCCTCTTAACTTAATTAAAAAAGTGCGCAATATATCCAATTTTAAATGCTAAATTAGGTCATCAAACATTACCTATGTCAGAGAAGAGAAAACGAAGAGAGAACATGTGAGAAGAGAAGTAATGCCTCAGACTATGAAAGAGCGTCCCCCAACTCAAGCACATCTTAAATAATTTGATTTAGGTTGAAATTTTCACGTAAGCCTAACCTGAGTACTAGACATCCTAACCCAAGCATTGATTGTTTTAAAGTGAGATTGGGTTAGCCTGTGCTAGTTGCAGCCATAACCAGAAGCTGTGACATATGCCACGTGTGTGCAGAATTATTTTACAAACTAATTATTTACCAGTTTTGAATGAGGAGGAATTGTTTATTCTTTTTTTGGCTAGAGAAAAAAAGAGTTGGGAAAAAAGAAAATGCTTAGAGACTATAACGATAAGATTTTACTACTGAAATTATGAGACTCGTGACCAAGTTTGTTATTTCTCTTGAGAACGAATATAACAACTATGCAGTCACTAAAAAAAATATCAAACACGAAACTAGTTTAACTAGACATATTTGTTTAGATGATAATATATGAAGAAAATATATATATTTTTTTAATTATTGAACTTGTATAATATGAATCTTATATAATTAGATGTTTTTTAATGTAATTTTTTTATTTAATGGCTTAAGTGTCTCGATCTGATTTTGAGCACAACACAATTAATGGGTAAGTTGAATTATAGATAAAATATCCGACACGATTAATTAAATATACGAAGGATTTGACTACTAATCGACAACACCAAATGACCTTCTCCGGATCTGAGCTGCTTGTTAAGAGGAATAAGTTCCATAAATTTGGAGGATTAGCAAAGTACTTGGAGGACTCTAGTGGTGATCTTGTGATTCTACTAATCACGGAGGTGCATTGAGCAACCGAAAAATAGGAAAGCTTTGACGACGTCAAACATTGCAGTACATGTACTACACTTCCTCAAAAGCCCAATTGCGTAAGTGGATAAGTTTGGCCAACGGAAACTCTAACTGTTTGCTTAGGGCCTAACTGCTGTAACTTAGCTGCTTTATTGCATTTCTAATAAGGTTTTATATTTTAATTCTTTAAAAGCGTATTTTTTTTATTTGAATTAATTATTTTTTTTAATACATATTCTAACAGATTTTTTATATTTTAATTTTTTTTTAAATATTATTTCTCATATCTTGTACCTTTGTTGAAACTATTTAACGAAGAGAAAAAAACTAGATNTTTTTTTAAATATTATTTTTCATATCTTGTACCTTTGTTGAAACTATTTAACGAAGAGAGAAAAACTAGAAGGAAAGACAAAGAGCGGATAAGAGAGGGGGAAAGTGATAAGACGAGAGAGAATATATTATGAACTATTTATACATAATGCTACAGAGATATATTCTAAATATAAAACATCATTGTAACAAAAATGTATTTTACCTATTCTGAATATCTTCTATTTTATCATATTTTTTGATTTTGGATAGCTAAATTTTAGCTATATTATGGAGTTATAACTATTTTGTTGGAGATACTCTTAGGAAACTAGTTAGAAGAGAACGGCAAACTGAAATCTTTTCAATGGGTAATTCAAGTTTGCTATGAATTTGAAAATCTCCAAA